ACCATTGCGCCACAAGGCCCTCACAGCTCTTCAAGACATCTCTGATTATATGTGGCATCCCCCAGATTTTCCCAGATTTTCCCCAAAAATTTCGAGCCGCTTTCAGCGGCTCCTCTGGTGACCCTGCGGGTCACCCCGACCTCGACCCCACACCTGCTCCTCCAAAGTAACCTCGATCGAGATTATACCAATTCAGGTACACAGGCGGGTTGCTGAATAGGGAGTAGTAGCTTCAATTCATGTCTGGTACCATACTCGCGTTCGATTCATGTAGCCAGTCTATAGTCTCCAGCTTTATTTTCTATTTATTGTTCATTAATGCCTCTCTGGGTGCCGCCGCGCCAACTCTCGCGCTCCTCTCGCGGGACTTGAAACGTCCATACAAGTTTCGACCCGCCAAAAGTAAGGTTTCTCCAAGTAGAGACCGCTCGCAGCGCGGCCCCAAGGCTCGCAAATGGCATTAAATACTTGAGCACCGGAATCAACTCTCCGAGTACCATTTATACGCATTCGCTCTCAAAAAGCGCCCACAGATGCTCTGACGTTTGGCATGTACCCTGGCGACATTGGTGGCTCGAGGCTTTGCACATCTTGGACGTTAGTACCGGTCGCGATTAATTCCATGCGGAACACTGTGAGCCAGGTCCTGGGAAATTCACAGACGCACATGGCATTGGCACTGCGCTGGGATCGGGTGTCCCGACACATGGCCAAGAAACCTAGCTGTGAGGTATTATAGTGCTCCTGGAATCCTCTGACATTGTTTTCAGGCTTCTCAATAACGCTCCACAAAGTCTACACTTTCTCACCCCGACAACCCCAGTCCTAAACCTCCAAAGCAGCATCGGCTCCGCCACAGAAGCGATTCGTACATGTTCCCTCAGACTTGCGGTTGAAACCTCGGCTGGTAAGTTGACCCATCACCTCGCACCCGACGTTGGTACCCAACCAGCAACCAGTCAAACAAACCAAACGGCGGCGTCATGGAACTTCATTTTACACTGTGAATATGGCTTCAATAACTTGTTCTACAGGTAAACCCGTGACTGGCGCCCATCTTAGAAAGATGACCCTCGAAAGGCGAGTCCATTCACTCTCCTGCCCTCCTCGACCTGAATATCTTTAAAATACAGGATATCTTACAATTCGGCAAACTTATATCATACTCGGTCAAGCGATGGCTGTGATAAATGGGTTGCAGGCTCTTCAAACCATCCTTGGACCACTGCACAGATGGCCCGAGACTCCTTTTGAGTCATTTTTCGGAGCTTTTGAACCTATAGAAGCGGATTGATTGACAATTAATGTACCGGGGAGCCGATGCCATCAGGTTTGCTCGCTTTAACACGGGATCCCAAGACGCGAGGTATGTATTAGATCCACAGAGAATGCCTCCATAAAGCTGAACCATTTTAGGTACTCGTACTCACGACGTTCGTCTCGCAAAAATCGACAAATGGAGCAATCCCCGGCGACAACTCGTCCCACCGCACCCCTTCACCCGTCTCGTACGTTCCGAGCAGCCCAGTACCATGCCATACGCAAAAAGAAAGTAGAAGAGTGTCGAATATGGAACCAAAAACAAAGCGGCCGTCACCCTCACAAAGCAGCTTCTCGAGGGCGCCTGTTTCGCCCCATTGCTTGGAGACCCCATGCTACACTCGCAGCCCCTCCAGAACCCACAGATAGCTCTTTTCAGAATCTTCGTCTTAATCGAACGCATTTTGGGTCAGAGCGACTTTCATAGACCACCCCCGCGAGTTCATCTGAAGGGGGGAGACGCAGGAGGGAAGATAAAGAGTGTATAAAAGCTTTGATTAATCTGTAATTGTGTTGGTTAGACTGTACATCCCATCAGCTCTTCATCCCTTCTCGACTTGTCGTCGCCCACTCCTTTGATTCTCTCAAAGCACCGGCTACGGCTCAGAAAACTAGCGTGTTTCTACTATAGTAGATACTTGCTCGAAAAAAAGTCGCAGAAACTCGGTGTTCTGCTCGCCACTCGCCCTCGCCATCTGCCACAGGGTTCCGCAGCCCCGTCAGGCTTGGTGAGCAACTTTTCAGGACCCTATTTCATGCTTATTTACCAAATATCCACTCTAGGCTCCCAATTAGAACGCAGATCCTTCGTTACAAAGTCGGTCCATTGCGTCTCGCTTCGGTACGTTACAACAGTTCAG